TGAAAATTTCAGTCAAATTACTCCAAACTCAAAACTACGCCAGTTGACTCAACGACAGACCTTATGACCATTCAAACCCCCGTTTAGTTTTAACACGCGTTGTATCATAAGGTCTGTCATTGAGTCAGAATATCTACATATCCGACTGTTTATCGCTTTAAATCATACGGCCTGTCATTGAGTCAACTAGCGTGGTTTCGAATCCCCGGTTTTACGTGTCAAGGAGTAGGGTCGCCTGTCCAACCTCGTGGGTTTTCTCCGGGTCCTCCGGTTTCCCCCAACTGGTAAAGCCCCCAACGCGCAAGCGAATTATTGAATTAAAATTAAACCATATGTTAGTCCCGAAATGTCCTAGTTTGTGTCGAGTAGACGTTAAACCCCATTTCTCTCTCTTATCCCTTTAAACAACATATTGCACTTAATATCACAAAACACCATGGTGTTAATGTCCTACCCAGAGTTAAAAGAGCATTAACCATTCAACCACAGCGACAATTGGCTCGTTTACTTTCATTATTTTTTCTCGACATTTAAACCTCGACATGAAACAAGGAATGTTTATGAATTACATTCTATGCCCTTCTTACCGTTAGCTGAACTTTCGACTAACTAGGAGAGCTGCCAAATGGAGCATCGGCTATTTGTGTCAGTGGGACAGCGAGGAGTATCGCGTGCATAATAGCGGAGAAAATAAATGAAATGAAATGGGGTTTAACGTCCCACTGGTCTACACCAACGGAAATGAAATGAAATGGGGTTTAACGTCCTATTGTTCTGCTCCGACTGCACTAATGAAGATGGGCATACAGCATACATAGTGCTGAGCGGAGAAAATAAATGAAATGGGGTTTAACGTCCCACTGTTCTACACCAACGGGGCTAATGAAAAAGACAGATTATGCAGTGTGCTGTGAGATGTTTTTTTCCCGGACAGATGTGTTCCGGGCTAGGGAGCCACGGTGGCTAAGTGATGGCACGCTGGCTCGCTAGCCTGGAGGTCGGGTGTTCGATGGCACGCTGGCTCGCTAACCTGGAGGTCACGTGTCTGGAGGTCACGTGTTCGATGCCTGCATTGCCCGAGAAAGTTCATCGGGATTTTTTCGACGTGGTTTCCTCCTTGTCAATATTACAGGACGGAGGGCATGACAAGGCCATCTATCTAGTTGTTCGGATGGTACGAAAAACCGAGGTACCGTGTATACTTTTACGTGCACGTAAAAGATCCCTTGACAGTTGGAATTCGATATAAGAGTAGGTCATAGTGCCGCTGCCCGGGCAAAGTTTTTCTCATGGCACACTGTATTAGCACACTGTATGACGTATGCTGTCCCCATTAGCCCAGCATAGGAATAGAACAGTAGGACGTTAAACCCTTTTTCATTTCACAAAGCATTCTCAAACTTAAGTTAACTCGTGTCCGGGACTTCCTGCTTATTGAGCCAGCTTATCACACACCTCCTTTGTAGTATGACGTATGTAAAAAGCAATTATTATGTTATAATACGCACGGGGCCTGTAATTTTCTAGAACCCACCCCCAATCAAAACTTCACCTAAACAGACTTTTACTGACAATTCTTCGTTCCCACACCCAATGTCCTTATTTCAAATGTACCAGACAAAACAAGGCCTTTTTTTTGTTAATGTTGAGAGACAGTCGTTTTATTATCTATTGGCCCAATCGATGATATATATCTAGTTGAGTCGTTACGTTTTACGAGTTAATGTCTATAACAAATATTTTAATGTGACATGAGTGTATATAAAGTGATTTATATACGGGTTTTTTTTTTTAAAAAAATGATTGTAATTTCGGATGAATTATGTTCGGTGAAATATGTTTTATTTATTATTATTTTATCATTTGTGAATCATTCATTGCTTAATTATTTTCGCAATATTATGTATAGGATATGTTTTTCGGTGTTCATTAAAAATGGCACCCGAAACCATAGAATACACGACTCGTGTACTGATTATAAAATGTTAATTGTGTCTTAAATATTGGATATTAGGATCCCATATTGCCACGGCAAGATAACAACATCAATATTGATTGTAATGGGTCAATATTGAATTCTAATGTGAGATAGAGATAGAGAGAGAGAGAAGTAGAGGGAGAGAGAGGGGAGAGAGAGGGAGAGAGAGAGAGAGGGGGAGAGAGAGGGAGAGAGAGAGAGCAGGGGAATATATAGAGAGAGAGGTAGAGGGAGAGAGAGAGGGAGAGAGAGCAGGGGAATATAGAGAGAGGTTGGAGGTGAGAGAGAGAGAGAGAGAGAGAGAGAGAGAGAGAGAGAGAGAGCAGGGGAATAGGGAATATAGAGAGATAGAGGTAGAGGGAGAGAGAGAGAGAGGGGGGAGAGAGAGGGCAGGGGAATATAGAGAGAGGTTGGAGGTGAGAGAGAGAGAGAGGGGGGAGAGAGAGCAGGGGAATAGGGGAATATAGAGAGAGAGGTAGAGGGAGAGGGAGAGAGAGAGCCGGGGAATATAGAGAGATAGAGGTAGAGGGAGAGAGAGAGAGAGAGAGGGAATATAGAGAGAGGTTGGAGGTGAGAGAGAGAGAGGGAGAGAGAGAGGGGGAATATAGAGAGAGGTTGGAGGTGAGAGAGGGTGAGAGAGAGAGGGGGGAGAGAGAGGGCAGGGGAATATAGAGAGAGGTTGGAGGTGAGAGAGAGAGAGAGGGGGGAGAGAGAGCAGGGGAATAGGGGAATATAGAGAGAGAGGTAGAGGGAGAGGGAGAGAGAGAGCCGGGGAATATAGAGAGATAGAGGTAGAGGGAGAGAGAGAGAGAGAGAGAGAGGGAATATAGAGAGAGGTTGGAGGTGAGAGAGAGAGAGGGAGAGAGAGAGGGGGAATATAGAGAGAGGTTGGAGGTGAGAGAGGGGGGAGAGAGAGAGCAGGGGAATATAGAGAGAGGTTGGAGGTGAGAGAGAGAGGGAGAGAGAGAGCAGGGGAATATAGAGAGAGGTTGGAGGTGAGAGAGAGAGGGAGAGAGAGAGAGAGAGGGAAGAACACTCGACACAAACTATTTCATTTCGGGACAAACATATGGGTACATTTTATTTCAATAATCCGCTTGCGCGTAGGCGTCTTTAATAGTGGGAGGAAACCGGAGGACCCGGAGAAAACCCACGAGGTTGGACAGGCGACCCTACTCCTTGTCACGTACAACCGCAGAATCGAAACAACGCTAGTTGACTCAATGACAAACCTTATGACACAACGCGCACGCGCTAACCATTTGGCCATAACCCCACCTACCGTTTTGAAAAGCGACAATGTACCGGAGAAAACCCACGAGGTTTGCATAACGTTACTTATTATAATGCTGGATTAATTATTGTAAACTATGTTTGTGGTAACTCACATGTTCGGGTTTCAATCAGATACGATTATATATTTTATATTGTTACTATTTTATGAATGGTTTTAAAACCAGTAGACCGACCATAAAGTATGAATGACCTTTATAGGTATCTACATATCTATATAGCAGGATGTTGACAAGATGTCGTCAAGGTTGAGTCTTTTCCAACGTTGTCCTTTCAGTTATTTTTAAGGACAATTGTTGTGTTAAACGATTGGTGTAAAGTAAAGAAAATAAAATGCGGATGCGTTTGAGTGGGTCCGGGTTTTTTTGTTTGATGTCACGTTTACAGATGAAAGGATATAATATAAATCAGACGCAGATTCGGGAATTTTTGCAGGAGGGGTTTGTCAAGTTCCTGTTAAAGAAATGTGACAGTTGGCAATCCGTGATGCCATTATCGTCTTTAAATTACGTAGGCATACATACACTATAAGGTTTGTAAAGAGAGATATTCAACACCCCGTGTGATGTCAATTTTTATTATATGAAAGAATGGGATCATATTGTAATTCAATTTCATTGATCAAAGCATTTATTGTGATATGTCTGTATCATTATTTCACGCTTTGAATGCCCATCCCATCCCACCATCTGATGATAAAGAATAAAGCACACGTCCGTTACACTTTTCTCATAAAGTGTTGTTTTACAATGTTCAGGAATGACACATACTAGGTCATTTCGGGACTAACATATGGATTAATTTTATTTCAATAATCCGCTTGCGCGTAGGGGTCTTTAGCAGTGGAAGGAAACCGGTGGACCCGGAAAAAAAACACGTGTTTGGACAGGCGACCCTACTCCTTGCCACGTACAACCGGGGAATCGAAATTACGCCAGTTGATTCAATGACAGACCTTATGATGCAACGCGCACGTGCTAACCATTCGGCCATCCAATGCGTCGTATATTATTAAAATATAGATCTATATGATGATGCTAGTGGGTTACCCACAGGTCTGTGCACCTCACGCCAAAAACTCGCCGTAACAGATCGTTTCATTGACTAATCCCTCACATCATCCAGAACGCGTGTTATATAACAACTCTTCCAGATCCTGGTGCAGTAAAGACAAGTAAAACGAAATAAAATAGGATCTGCGTTTTATTCAGATTGGCGTACTATAATATTGCCATTACTCAACGGCCTTTTTGTCTCAAAGATAAATGAAATGAAATGAAATGGGGTTTAACGTCCCACTGGGCTAATGAAGACGGGCATACGCCATACAGTGTGTTATGAGGGAAATTTTGCCCGGACAGCGACACTATGGCCTACTCTTATATCGAATTCCGAACGACTAGACAGTCCTTGTCAGGTCCTCCGTCCTGCATCCTGCATCACTGATAAGGGGGGACCACACCGGAAAATCTGGATGAACTTTCTCGGCCAATGCAGGGATCGAACACCCGATCTCCAGGCTAGCGAGCCAGCGTCTTACCCACTTAGCCACGTGTTCCCTCTCAAAGATAAAACATTTCGATTATTTATCTGCCCGTTCGAATTCATGAAATATTGTAAGCGTTAATCGGTGATGGCTCCATTGATTCTTAAATGGAAGGGATGGTGACCCCGGTAATTCGTAAATTGAAAGGATAAAACAACACAAATAAACATAGATAGTACTCACCTCATCTACGATGTTTTCATCATCATCGAGATATTTCTGGAAGTTCACCACGGGATCCCTGGCATCCCACATGGCATATACAGAACTACTGGTATACTCAGCATCTTTTTGTTTCGTCACTGCCATCTGGTATCTGGACCACGACACGGAAGGCTCGAACCCCTGACCCCGAGGAAGCTTCATTTTGGAGATACCATTTATTTTTAAACGGTATGATTTTTGATTACCAAGTTTATCAGTTTGATTGGCATTAGAAAATATGAGATATTTGGGATGGTTAAAGTTATATTTATGAACGGCACTTAACTCCGATTGTTTCAAACTCTTCTTGATCTTAGTTTGTATGTGCCAGTTTTGAGGAGCTGAAGACCACTCGTCTGTTTTGTTTTCGGTTTTGATTGTCCATGTTGAAAAACGATTAGCTGTTCCTTTGATATCTATGTCAGCTTTAAAATGGAAGAGGTGGTGATGCAGGTGCGCTATGACGTTTTCTCTTATCCGGGTACCGTATTGGTCTTCAGCTGGTGTATAGAATCCTGAAGCAAGATATCCAGTAGACGCAACTTTTACTTCAACTGCTCCGTTGGTATGGAAGATAAAATCCGTCACATAGTCATAGTTAATTACGGAAATGACTATCCGCACAACTAAGTTAATATCTAAAAGTCCTCCATAAAAAGCACCAATTTTACCATAGGCTCTATGCCTTCTCAAGGGCATCAAATTGTTCTGTTCGAAAATACACATGGCCTTTTCAAAACGTCTGTAGCCACCATTATTAGAAGTGTATATCTCTATATCCTGGAAGTGGGCATAATCTGGGCAGTCGACACCTGGGAGCAGACCACGTGTTCTGGTACCAAACAAACCTGCGCTATCCGCAAAATATAACATACTGGAAGCTGGACTGTTTGCAGCATACAGAACAGCTATTTCCTGCATACTAAGTTCATAGGCAATTCTTTCGCCTTTAAATCGAATATTGAATAACTGCAATCCTATCGTTGGTGACATTTTATAGGTGAATTTCCATTGCATATATGTAACTTCATCATCGTCAACTGAATAACGGGGTCCATTAGGTTCAAACTGTCGAGGAGCTTCTAAGTTGAGTGTTGGGAAAGCCTCGCCGCGCAGATGGAGTGATGTAAGTAATTCTTCTTCTTTGACGGCCGGATAAGGTACTTTAGTTTTGTTGATCGTGTTTTGTCTATATTTGTCCAGGAGTTCATCAAGTGAGCCAAAGAGTGTGCTGCAATACCAGACACTTTGGACCAGCCAATTTTCCGGATTAATATCAGTCATATCAACAAGGAATTGAAAGTCTAAGGGATGCAGCGTATAAAATTCTAAATCATATGCAAACCAGAACCATGCTTTACGTTCTCCTTTGGCCAGATAAGCACTTGAAATGGGCGTCATAGAAAACCTCAAGCATCGGTCACCACAGTGCTTACCAAATTCAGCACCATAACTCTCATTCAGCAGGAAGTTGGCTTTCTTGGCTACAACTGGTAATATATCGGTATATATGGATCGGAACTCTACCATAGAAAATGGTCTAACGTTGAAGGGTATTCTAGTCTGTCGTGAAGTCGTATTGAGCAAATGGGCATATGTTATATTGGGAAGAGGGCCGACTTCATATTCTTCTACAACTGGTGTAACGGATGCACCTTTAAAGATAGAGACGAAGGCTGACCTTACAGGAATTGGTCCATCATGGTCAAGATATTTGAGAACTTGTTCTTTGGGAGCCAGTTTCAGCTCGATAGTGTGAACAAAATTTGAATTAGGTCTGGCTGTTGTAGGATCAGAGAGTTCTAACGATGCATTGACTTTTAGATATTTAATGATGGACTGGGTTTCGGACTCGGTGATCTCTGTAAAGACGCCAATGTGTTTTTTATCTTCGCTTGGTCGCGAGTGGTGGTGCCTCTTAGTGTGGCTTCTGTGTTGCTCTACTAGTATCTGGTCCGGAGATGACGTAATGATTATTATTACACCAATTAGTATGCAGATAAGCAGACACAGTAGACCAATTATACAATAATGGATGGTCAGTTGCTTGCGATACGCCCTCGGTAACTGATTTCTATATATAAATCTGAAATACAAGAAGAAAAATTTCATTTTTATTTTAGAAATACCGAGAGACTGAGAGAGAGAAAGAGAGAGTGAGAGAGAGAGAGAGAGGAGAGATGGGTTTAACGTCCACTCGACACAAACCAGGTCATTTCGGAACTAACACATGGTTCATTTTTTTTTCTGCGTGTAGGTGGTGTCTTTAGCATTGAGAGGAAACCGGAGGACTAAGAGAAAACCCATGAGGTTGTTTAACCTATAGGTGACCCAACTCCTTGTCACATATAACCTGAGAATCGAAACCACGCCAGTTGACATTTTGATGTAGCGATGGATACATTATTATTATAACGAATTAATCAACCATTAAAAGACTTTTATCTTATTTTTGTAAAACCAGTACAGGAGTACTATATGAACAAAGAACCGAACATTGCGTCATCGCCGCCATTTTGGAATTGTGACGTCATATCCAACATAGAAGTCCACCAATTGATACCCAGTTGTCTCAGGTATAGACATACCAACAAGTTTGGGAACAAGCTCCTGGTCTAACAACTTATGGTACATCCGATTACACTTGGTCCGTTGGGATATTCGGGCCTATAACATTAATAGTAAGTACACGAGGACCACACTGCACGCAAAACACTACCGACAATACAGATATCAGTTCATGTAAATGGACCCGGAAACCAGCCGTAAGCGTCCACAGCTCTGTACAGTTCTGTCTGGTACTGGCTAGTGTTTTGGGTTAAAAGCCTCTGCGAGCTCCCTACTTAAAGATACATTATGGGAGATAAGATAAAGAGATGGCAGTTCTCGCTATAATAGTTAAAAACTAGATAGTGTAAAGGTAATTTGCTGAAAATTTCAGTCAAATTGATACACTATGAGCCGAGAAAGAAGCCGGTGAAATTTTTGCATAGTCTTGGTTAACATTACTAAAATCATAAATATAGACAGCATAGTCTCGATTATCCACTATTTTCTGATTTAATTATCTTTGGCCGTTAGCGGCATATAGGAATCTAATCCAGCCTACATCGAAGGCTAGCCTTGACATCGAGAGTTTATTACGGTCTGGATAAGTTAATTAATGTCTAATTGATAATTAAGATAACATTTCAGGCCTAAAAAAAGACTTGTAATAAGCAGATTTTGCTCTTGCATAATGCATGTTTAACAAATCGGAGCTTCTCCTTTGGATGAAATTCACCTTGGTTGCTTCCCTGCAAAGACATTGTGTCTTTTTTTGTGGCTTCTTCTGGCAAGTTTCTTAGGAAACACTTGTCTGCGATATCACCACAGGTGAATTGGACGTAAAACTTTAGGAACGAACGAACGCACCCTAATTAACTAGGAACCTAGAAGGAGAAATCCTGCTGATTTAAGGGCAGAGTTACGTGTGCGTTCTCTATCAGACCTTTTGCAGGCGTGGAAACCTCATGTAGCACCTGCACGGCGACAAACCCATGGACGTCGCTTCCTATAGAGGTAATAACTCGCAAGATTAATTAAATCACATTTCCTGTTTAAACAGAATAGTTTGCCATTCGTCAGTCAAAGTTGAATGAACGCAACAGAAATCAATATCGGCTACAATCTTGGCTGACGCTTCAAGGCCTTCCCACGCATCTAGAGTTATACAGTTTTATTAATAACCATTGTTACATTTGCACCATATGTCATCAGATATTGATTTGATGTAAATATACACGGACCAATATTAGATATTTATACAAAGTTGGGTTTATTTTATTTTAATCTCGGAGCTTATTAAAGTTATGTGTAGGAGTCGATCGTTGAGTTCAGATTTAAGGATTGTATCAACGATGGTATTGGGTTGTTATAAGATAACTTATAAACCTATAACGGTAAATCTCTTTGATATTCTATGCCCAGAATAACTTATGGTCTGAATGTCGGGGGCGGCTTTGAATGTATACAGGTGAATTTGGGGTTATTCCTCTGAAAGTTTTTCTGAAACCTGTACAGAAAAGTAGGACGTTAAACCCCATTTCATTCCATTTCAAAACTTATAATATTGTCGTCCCAAACGCCTCTCTTTAATGAGTTTCACTTTTTCAAATGCAAAGGTCACTTGACTGTTCGTCCGAACTGCTCCCGTATGAACCTGGGAATAAAAGTGCGGGAATATTTTGTTTCGTCGGGAACTGTTCCCCAAGCGCCACTTATCTCGTTGTTGTGCTTCTCCGGGGCGCAACCTTTCGAAAAGGGCCGACGGCTCTATCAATTCAAGTACGTTCAACATGAAACTTGGCACGCTTGTTTCTTGGATAGTGGTGCATCAATACTGCGTCACAATTAGAGAGGGTTTAACGTCCACTCGACATAAACTAGGTTATTTCCGGACTACCCGGAGAAAACCCACGAGGTTGGACAGGCGACCCTACTACTACTTGTCACGTACAACCGGGGAATCGAAACCACGTCAGTTGACTCAATTACAGACGTTATGATACAACGCACACGCGCTAACCCCCTTTAGTTCCTGGTCTAGACATTTGGCTCATACTTGGGTGTTTTTAAAATCGATAATGCACCATGTCGAAATATTTAATATTTACACATATACGATGGACTACATATTTAGTATCGAGACAGATATTTAGCCAAACTTGACACAGGTAATGAACAAGCCAGCGCCACCTGCATACAATCTGTAGATATGTCTCGATTGAATCGAACCCTGAGGATTACGTTCCTTTGATTATTGTAGTATGGTGACATACGGATAAAACAATAACACGATAGGTTGCCAGTCAACGAACCATACGCCCAAAGCCGAAATAATCACCGAGGGTACAAATACAGATAAAACAATAACACCATAGGTTGCCAGTCAACGAATCATACGCCCAAAGCAACTAAGTCGTTTTGCGAGTCAACAAAGGTTGTCGCAAATTTATTCTTCTGTAGATAATGTTGGCTTTTTCAAATTGACCAAGGTCATTAACTTCAACGGTAATTATCAGAAAATCATCTCAGAAACAAACACATGGCGTCTGACTTTCAAATCAATAGTGGACACGTAGACAGACAAGTGTGACGACAATAAACGACCACATTTAAATAAGAGCCTAAACATGGATATACCAAGTACTAAAATAAACTAAACGTTCGCCAAAGATGAATATTATATGAAGTTTCCGGGAGAACGTGAACCTATAAATAGACATGAACTGCCACAGTTCGTCGAGAACATTTTTGTGTGTTTTATGGTGACAGAAAGTATGTTTATGATTGACATAGGTAAACCATAATAAACCCAAAATAAACTGGAGGTCAAGACCTGTTTGTATTGTAGTGGAGTCAGTAGGTCAGTATATCATACAGATAAACTTACAATATGGAAAGATAACGGTACATGATAGAGATAAATAAAAGAACATGATATTGATAATTAACAATACATGATATTGGTAAATAACGGTACATGTTATTGGTAACGGTACATGATACAGATAAATAAAAGTACATGATATTGATTATTAACGGTAAATGATATTGATATTGATAATTAACGGTACATGATATTGGTAATTAACGGTAAATGATATTGGTAATTAACGGCAAATGATATTGATAATTAACGGCAAATGATATTGATATTGATAAATATATTGTACGTGTATATCGGAATATGTTAACCAAAATATACACGTCACAATTTTATGGAATGCAATTACTGCTTATTACTGAGCGACGTTTCAATCCGGCTTCTCTAGTCAGTATCATAATGACTAGAAAAGCCTAGTCGAAACGTCACTCAGTAATAAGCAGTAATTGTATTCCATAGAATTGTGACCTGTATATTCCAGTTCAATTACTAAATGCCATTGAAACAAGATAACGAAACAGTAGCATCATTAAACATTTATTATTCAAGAACTAAATCTGACTATCGTAGGTCTTTCTTTAGGCCTGAAATGTTATATAAACTATTAATTAGACATTAATTAACTTATCCAGACCAAAATCAACCCTCGATGCCATCGCTAGCCTGAGATATTTACTGGATTGGAATACATTTTGTGTAGGATGATTAAACGTGCAAATGAATAATTGAGACTATTTTTAATCATACCAACTTTAGTAATGATGATCGCGGCTAGCCTAAAATTCAAAAGCCAATATCTCGGTTCAGAGTGGAGCAATGTGACTGAAATTTTCAGCATATTCTATTTTTTTTTAAACTATTATAACTATTTAAACTCTTTATCTAATCTCTCATAATGTGCCTTTAAACCACAGTTGTTTTTATAGAACTCTAATCTAAATATGATAACAAAACAGCAGCATCATTAAACCACGGTTATTGTCATAAGAATGAAATGAAATGGAATGGGGTTTAACGTTCTACTGTTCTGCTCCGACTGGGCTAATGAAGACGGGCATACGCCATACAATGTGCTACGAGGGACAATATTTTCCGGACAGTGGCGCTTCTTGTTTCGGAGTTTATAAATATATTTAATTTCTTGACGTCATAAAACGCAAGAGAATGGAGACAAAAAGTCGTTACAACTACATGTATGGAATTTACTATTTAAATCGTGTTCGCAATTGAGCAATTGCAAATTGTAAATCCTAACCTATTTTTTAGAAGAAAGAAAGCGGATCGAATTTACCTTTTACCCCTCTCAAAAGGGTTCGGGTTAGGGTTCGGGTTAGTATTCCCCACTATTCTCATTTATATAAAACGGCCATTTTGGGACTCCGGAGACACCCGAACCTCTCCGAGTGACCTACAATTAGCATCTCCCTTGTTTTTGTGTTTAAAGCGAGACTAAATAACGTCGCAATAAGTCTGGAAGACTGCCATTAATGAAATGTAATACTGTTCGATTTGGGCTAAGGCATTCGAAGGTTACATTTATCTTATGCAATCTCCCGCTTGTGTCGTAATATTATTTCAGAATACAAAATAAATCTAAACGTAAATAATAAAATAAATGAACATTTGTAGGTCATTGGGTTATTTGTTTTTTTTGGGGTTTTTTTTATTGTCAATATTTCTTTTCGTTTAAATGTCACAAAAGTATGGCGCAATATAAACACAAAGTATCGTGGAAACTTTTGTAGGTCGACAAGTTACTTTTCATATATTAAATTTCCAATATTTGTTTTCTTTTTCAAAATATTTTTAGAGAGAGAGTTTGACGTCCATTCGACGCAAACTAGGTCATTTCGGGACTAACACATGACACAATTTTATTTCAATAATTCGCTAGCGCGTAGGGGTCTTTTAGCAGTGGGAGGAAACCGGAGGACCCAGACAAAACCCACGAGGTTGGATATGCAAACCTACTCCTTGTCACGTAAAAAAAGGGGGAATCGAAACCACGACAGTTGACTCAATGAAAGACCTTATGATGCAGCATGCATGCGCTAACTATTCGGTCTTCCCCCTCCCCCCCCCCCCCAAAAAAAAACAAAAAAAATTTCATAGAACATTTAAAAATAGATGTTGTTTTTTTTTGTGTCGAAAAGAACGTAGTTTGTGAATTGTGCATCAGTACTTATTTTAGTCACGGTGAACCTCGGCGATATCCCTTAAGTGGAAGTGGACGTTAGATAAATCTATTGCACACACACTTTTAACCTCATCATTTATATGTAAATAGACTAAACCTACCCTTTAGACTGTTGTTCCTCTGTCAATGCACTTCTTTCATTTAAAAACGAGTCCTGAGCAGCCATCGAATAACAGCAATCTTTCATTAAATTGTATTAAAAGTTTTTTTTTCTTCTTGTAGTATGATATATATATATATATTTTTTTTATCTCCTTGTTATATAAAAGTTTTTATATATATATAGTAGTCGACGTAGTAGTAGCAGTTGTAACGTCAGAGGTAAACAAACGTTCAATTCACACTCGTTCGTCTATAAAACGGGTAAGACGAGTCAAGGGGCCAAGTAATAAAAACTCCAAGTATGAATTGTCTCGTATTCTCTGTGCTTTCTAGAAGTTATATCTAATCGTAAGAAGTTGTGAACGTAGTAGCAGTTCATTCATAGAATTGGGGGTGCGGTCCGGCTTAACCAATCGGAACGATTCAAGCTAAGAACGACCAATCAGAAATAGGGTATTACATCAGCATTTGTTTATATTATGTTCTGTTGTATTTAGCGTATATACGGTGGTGGGTATTGGCTATTGAAAATATTATTAAGCTGGTCAGTTGGCCAGGCTTACATTGACTTATGTCGGGACTACAGGACACGCGCATGATGTTGTATTTGTTATAAAACTAGCTTATATGTTACCAGCGCATAGGTGAAATACCGAAGCAGGTTAAGAGGACAACGGCTACGTTAACTGGTTAACAATGACCTTCACATAAACACTTGTATACACAGATATCTATATATATACTGTAGGTAACGAAATGAAAAGAGGGAGAGAGAGAGAGAGGGGGGGAGAAAGGAGGGAGGGGGGAGGTCCACTCGACACAATGTCATTTTTGGACTAACATGGTTCAATTCTATATCACGGAGAGAGCGAGAAAACGGAAGGGAGAGAGAGAGAGGGGGGAGAGAGAGAGGGGGGAGGCGGGGTCCAATCGACACAAACTAGGTTATTTTTGGACTAAAATATGGTTCAATTTTATATCAATTATTCGATTGCTCGTAGGGGTCTTTAGCAGTGGACAGAATCGAAATACGATGGTATTTATCGTCCTACACAAGTATATATAGCTAATGAGGGCGGGCATTAGGCTATATATACGCCATGTTGTGTGTGATGGGGGTAATTTTGCCAGGACAGCGACGCTACGGCCTACTGTCAAGGGTTATGTTATGTGTGGGGGGTGGGGCGTGGCATCATAAGGTCTGTCATTAAGTCAAGTGACGTGGCATACTAAACTTAGGCTACAGTTAGTTCCTGCCCTAGAGAACAGACACTAAGCTAGTTGACGGACATTTTAAGCAACTAAATCTACGATTTTTGTCCAAAACACTGGGTATACTTCGCGAATTATGTTAATATTTATTATTCTGCTTCCATTTAATAAAATTTAAAAAGTTTATTTAGTCCTTGTGTGTGTAAAACGGAGTAGAGAGAGAGAGAGAGAGAGAGAGAGAAATGGGGTTTAACGTCCACTCGACACAAACTAGGTCATTTCGGGACTAACATTTGGTTTAATTTTATTTACATAATTCGCTTGCGCGTAGGGGTCTTTAGCAGTGGGAGGAAACCGGAGGACCCGGAGAAAACCCACGAGGTTGGACAGGCGACCCTACTCCTTGCCAAGTACGACCGGGGATTCGAAACCACGCCAGTCGACTCAATGACAGACTTTATGATACAGCGCCCGCACGCTAACCATTCAGCCATCCAACCCCCCAAAACGGAGTAGAACTGCATTACAAAACAGTATACTCATTTTTGAATATGGCAGCCATTTAGATCAGAGATCTATTCTTGAAGTATGGAGTAGATGGATCTCTGTGTGCGGAATAGCGGCGTGGTTTCGATTTGTCGTTTGTACGTGACAAGTAGTAGGGGTTTTTTTCCGGACCCGTCGGTTTCCTGCTACTGCCAAAGACCCCCCTACTCACAAGTGAATTGTTGAAATAAAATTGACCATATGTTAGTCCCTACGTGAGCTGGTTTGTGTCAAGTGTACGTTAAACACCATCTTTCTCTCTCTCTCTAACCATATGTTAATCCCGAAATGAGCGGGTTTGTGTAAAGTGGACGTTAAACACCATCTCTCTCTCTCTACCCATATGTTAGTCCCGAAATGAGCGGGTTTGTGTCGCGTGGACGTTAAACACCATCTCTCTCTCTAACCATATGTTAGTCCCATGTGTTGAGTTACCCCCCCCCCCCCCCCTACCAACCCCGTCGTCACTCCTTCTACCTATAGTTTCAACCTGTCGACTTTAATTAATAATAAATCTATTCTCTGTACTTTTGATGATCACGGGATCCAATTTATTTCATTGGCTTTCCGCCCACTGGGTTAAAATAAATTGTTTCTTCATTTCATGAAAGCCCACGCTGAACGCTTAGCAAACGATGTCCAAATTAATTGTTGAACTAAGGACATAGATGAAAGCTGACAGTATTTTAATTAATTCTGGTGATTTATTCAGGCTGGTGTTGGTAAATGTTTTATTTTCCTGTCTAATAACGATCCAAGAATTGTACTGGGTGAATTTATATACGCCTACATTCAAATGCTGTCGTGTATGGTAAATGCTAAATGATAAGGCCAGCTCAATTTTTCGTGACGAGATGTAAACAAGGCTAGCGCTAATCCCAATCCTAAACCTAACCCTGGACCTAAACCCAATGCTTACCCTAACCCTAACCTACAATCTCGCCAACAATCACGTGCCCTAACCTAATATTTACATCTCAGCGACCTTGACAAAAATTGAGCTAGCCTTAACAAATAGATTTAGCCGTCGTGTATGGCTGTCATTCCGATGGGTCAACAAAGCGAGGTCCTCCTCCACGGTCACTGATTTTGTATACGTCCACACTGAATTGTCGTAGCTAGTGCAGTGCCGTCGCCCCGTCCACTTAAAGGAACTAAACGGTTACCTGTAACTCGTTATTGTTCATAATAAATATTGGAATTTTAAAAAAAACATATTAGAATTCATTATTTGTCCTTTTCAGTCAATATGGATGTTGTTATCTTACAGGGAAAATATGTCATCCTAATATCCAATATTTAAAGATACATTATTGCAGATTAGATAAAGAGCTGGCAGTTCTCACTATAATAGTTAAAAACTAGATAATGTAAAGTGAATTTGCTGACAATTTCAGTCAAATTGATCCACTCTAAACCGAGAATTTAGCGATTGAATTTTGTGCCTAGCCTCGATCATCATTACTAAAGTCGGTACGATAAAAAATAAAATAGTCTCGATTATCCACTTTTTGATTTAATCATGGACGAACGTTGAGCAGCAGATCGGATCCTAATCCAGTAAATATCCCAGGCTAGCGATGACATCGAGCTTTAATTATGGTCTGGATAAGTTAATTAATGTCTAATTAATAATTTAGATACCATTTCAGGCCTAAAGAAAGACCTGCAATAGACAGATTTAGCTCTTGCATAATGCATATAAGACATAATGGGGGGTTGGATGGCCGAATGGTTAGCGCTGTATCATAAGGTCTGTCATTGAGTCAACTGGCGGGGTTTTGATTCCCCGGTTGTACGTCACAAGGACAAGGTTCGCCTGTCCAACCTCGTGGGTTTTCTCCGGGTCCTCCGGTATCCTCCCACTGCTAAAGACCCCTACGCGCAAGCGAATTATTGAAATAAAATTGAACCATGTGTTAGTCCCGAAATGACCTAGTTTGTGTCGAGTGGACGTTAAACCCCATTTCTCTCTCTCTCTCTTAAGACATAATGAACTTTTTAACATCAGTAAGTGAGGTCGTATACACTATGGGCATAATGATTTCGGGCACCATTTGTAATTAACAAAGAAAAAATATCCCAGAAGTCAGTGCAGAAGTAATTACAAATGATACTTTAAAAACCAGCTCAGAATAGATTAAGCAGGCCCAAACGACTGTCGTTCAATTTTGGCTGTTCGCGTATTTCACCGAACATAATTGAGTATAAATTATACTTTTTGCATTGATCTATCTTCGTCTATTCTAGGATTTTAAGAATAGGGCCCTTAACGGTTACAATTGCATGATCAGTCGATGGAGCACAGATTTTAAGTAGCGCCAACTTTTTGTGACCTTTGACGTACTACAATGCTAATTTGCATATTGTTTGTTTGATGCCATCGAGGAATTCACTAGAAACATTTTGAGTGGTAGATCGTTAAATTCCCTCATAGCACACTGTATGGCGTATGTCCATCTTAATTAGCCCAGTCGGAGCAGAATAATAGGACGTTAAACCTCATTTCATTTCATTCCTTCGCGTATTTTACCACCGAACCTCATTGATTATAAATGGTAATAGATTTTAAAAGTTGAATGTAAAAAAACTCAAATTATATTAATATGTGATTTTAGATCCGATATCGTCTATCTTAAGGTTCCAAACAATAGAAATGAAATGAAATGAAATGGGGTTTAACGTCCTACTGTTCTGCTCCTATACTGGGCTAATGAAGATGGGCATACGCCATACAGTGTGCTGAGGGAAACTTTGCCTACTCTTATATCGAATTCCTTCTGTCAGGTCATCTTTTACGTGCATTCCGATATATACACGGGACCTCGGTTTTTCGTTTCATCCAAAGGACTAGACAGCTGTCCTTGTCAGGCCCTCGGTTCTGCACCACTGACAAGGAGGAACCACGCCGGAAAATCTCGATGAACTTTCTTGGCCAATGCAGGGATCGAACACCCGACCTCCAGGCTAGCGAGTCAGCGTCTCAACCGCCTAGTCACCGTGGCTCCCCAAAAAATAGAACTACACGCCCTGTAATTATCTACTCCATTGACAGATTATCACGCTATTACAGTATCTGTTGGCCCCAAGTTTACAAACCATTCTCAGACTTAAATTAAGAATTTACTCAAGAATTTAATTAAAATATAGCCCTTTATAAAACGTTTATTGTTGTAATGTATCAACTACATCTATAAGAAACTATGTTCAAAGTTTTGTGTTTCTGGATCAAAGATCTAATAAACAGTGACTGAAAGTTGAGTGAATTCTTAACTTAGTCTGAGAATGCTTTGCGAACTCGAGGCCAGGGTCCGGTTCCAAGAAAATTCTTAAAGTAAGCACAAAGTCATGCTTCACTTTTTCTTACCTAAGAAACTTTATAAAATACCGTCTCTAGAAAATTCTCAAGACCGTTCTTACGTAAGCGCAAGTCTATCACATTGTGACTGGTAAACTGAGACTACGATGCTCTCTAACGTCATAAAAACAATTTTGGTATGCGAATTACCTCATAAATTGGTCGGCTGCATAGAGTTTAAAATAGATCAATGACATTAACTT